ATTTTACGATTGGAGAACTTTTTATTGACACTCAGGGCTTCGCAAATACGACTTCGGCGAAAGTGGTTACCTGTCGCATCCCGTGCACCGGGAGCGTGCAAGGGAGCTAGGCCACCCCCCAATTCAAAAATGCTTGCAGTCACTCTGCAAAGGTCACCAAGGCTTGACCGAAATCGGCTGATGTATGGTATCTTCCGCAAGAGCAATGAATGATCAACAGCTCAGAGATATTGCTTTTGGACAACGACGTCGTCAGAATTTGTAAGCAAATTTCAAACACGAATACTGCTACCACGCTGGGTGGGTCGAGCAGCTTTTTTCCACTGGTGTACTCTAATTTTGACCTCACTATTATTAGGAAGGCGGTCTCAGCGTAGAATCTCCAATTGAAAAAGATGTCGGATATACACGGCAACTAAGAAACAATTAGATAAGGATATTTTAGGACGGCTGACTTGTTCTAATTTTTTGAAGAAACTGCCCCAACTTGGCTGGGCAGGGCTGTATGTAGTAGCGAAACTGAGGTTTGGACTCTTTCTGCCATTGCACCTCATTTTTTGCGTGTGCTAATGATGCTTATGTTAACTCCGATGGGAGAACCCCCCGGCCCCCAGGGGCCAAACAAATTTCAGGGAAGGTAAAAAAAAAACTTTACCATGTAAGCAATACAACCATCCATGCATGGTACTCGTACTTATCACTTCGTAACCAGGGTTGTACAAGTACGGAAATAGTCATACGTATTATGGTTGCTATGTAACGTACAATGCGCAGTACAGCACCGCAGTACGAAACTCCTGCGCATAGCCACTTCGATGAACTAAACAATTTACTGCTCCTGATATTAACGTGAGGAACTACTGTAGGTATCAAACATTCTCCGTCCAATATTTGTACAATTTCAAAAGAATTTCGTTTACCCGAATAAAAATTAACAACAAAGTAGATCTTTTTTATATGGTATACGCACGTTAGAAAGAAATGAGGACAAAGTTTTCACGCAGACGTTCTAAAGAACTGTCATTTTCCATTCTAGAATGCGTAACTTGCAGTTACACTTGAAAGATGGTTACAAAGTTGCTGTAGAACATTAGTTCCTGAAAGAAGTATTTGTGCAACTGTGTTTTGATTTTTGGAACAATATTTTGTCACACTTATGAAAACGTAAATTATTCTGCTTTCAAAGTAGCTGGCAAAATGCTAAGTAACTGACAGCAGAGCAACTGTCGAGACTGGTACGAGTTTTGAAAAATTCGAGTCGAGTGGGCAACTTAGGATTGAGTGCCCAGGCAGAAATTCACTGGGTTGACTGTCTCACCTATGCAGTCTTCGTGCTCAATGGTCTATGTAAGCCCGGTCGTTCATTACTGAATTTCAACGTCGTCATTAACGAAACGATACCCCCTTCGTTTCGTTAATAACGACGGGTAATTCCGTTTAAACGTTCGTTAATCGTACCCCGTCGTTAATTCTATCGTCAATCGTACCCCTTCGTTGATACCGCAACCTGCTTATATTCTAGAATGGAAAATGACAGTTCTTTAGAACGTCTGCGTGAAAACTTTGTCCTCACTTCTTTCTAACGTGCGTATACCATATAAAAAAGATCTACTTTGTTGTTAATTTTTATTCGGGTAAACGAAATTCTTTTGAAATTGTACAAATATTGGACGGAGAATGTTTGATACCTACAGTAGTTCCTCACGTTAATATCAGGAGCAGTAAATTGTTTAGTTCATAACGCAACCTCCTGTTCGAATCAACGGAACGTTAAATTAACAACACCAAGATCGTCGTTAATTTTGCCGTTAATCGTATGGCCGTGCAAAACGCAACCTACTTAATGACAACATTTGCGGCTAGTTGTTCTGGGATCAGCGCGGCACCTACCGGGGTGACCCTTAATAGTATCCAGTCATTATGTCATTACTGACATAATGCTATGTCATCACTGACATAATGCCACCAGAGACGGCAGTTTGCTCCTTTATTGCGTGTACTAGTTGCCCCCAGTCCGGCCCGTCATTATGTCATTAATGATTTAGTGACATAATGACACCAGATACGGCAGCTCGCTCCTTTATAGCATGTAATTAGTTGCTTCAATGTGCAGCCCGGTTTGTCTTTGTGTCATTAATGACATAATGACACAACTTACTTAATACTGGTGGTCGAAGTTTAGTATTTTTTGGGCCAAAACTCGCCGGTACACCCGGCATAGCGCGCCGTAGCATCTCACACAGTTCTAGTCAGAGTCTTCAGGTTCTACTGTGCTAAGTGTCTATAATATTCCCCAGTTCCGACCATGGGCTGGAAGCCAAAGTCCATGCAGCTAGAGATTCCAAAGTTTTTTACAAGTTACAAGCCTTACTTACCTGACACGTGCTGCCCCACTGTGATGGTCACATGCGTTAGCGGCAAAAGCAGCAATTTAATATTAAGAGTAGAAGCAAAAGACAGCGAGCTTTTCCTCTGCAAAATGTACCATTGATATTGCAGTCCGTTAAATGTTTCAAGTGTTCGGTTGTTACTAGAACTCGCGGTGGAATGCAAGTACGAATTTCTGGAATAAGCACTTGGCCACGTATCGGATCTCAAGTGAAAGTCGTGTTGTCGCCACTAAGGAAGAACTTTGCTGGTGCCGCTTAAATATGCTACATACGTCCAATGAGCTACCGCTTGCTCTTCATGGAAGTTTCGTAGGATTTACAGAACACTTCCAAACTGATTTCGCTGTATTATTATTTCAAAGAATTTTGCAACGAAAGGTGGTGATATTAAAAATCGATTACGTGAGCAAAACTGCGTTACTGGTCATAACTCATAATAAGTCGACCTTCATTTCATAAGGCATTTCCTCTACATTTCACTGTGGAACAATGAAGTGCGGGTAACATAAATGTCAAACATCAGTGATAAAACATAAAAGCAAAGTGAAACGAAAAAGTCAAACTTAAACGATTTGGGAAATATGATATAAAAGCAAACCATATTTCGGCGCATGGATTACTGCAACCACACGCAATGGCAGCGAAATGCGTTTTCTAATTCTTTCTAAAAAGGTTTACCGAAATTCCCGATCTGTTTTTGAACCTTCTCCTACAGAGTGTTCTTTCCTTCATGCTTCTATCGACAAATAACGAGTCAATTAAAGTGCAAGCAGTCCAAATTTAACTCTGAATGAGTCGGTTTGAAATAGAATTGTCGCATGACAACTGGCCGGTCTTCATTGAAAAAATAAAGAGGCGATGAAAACCAAAGGTAAAATGGCACACCGACAACTCGCTGACGGTCATCTTGCTGACCGACAACTTGCTGACGACTATTTGCTGACCGACAAAATGTTGACCCGACAGTTTGTTGAAACAACAAATCGCTGAACGACATTTTGCTGAACGACAGTTCGCTGACACCGACGATTTGCTGACGACATTTTGCTGACTGACAGAATGCTTACCCGACAATTTGCTTCCTTACTAAATTGTTGACCGACGTTTTACTGGCAGACGTTTTATGAAAATACCGACAACTCGCTGACCACAAATTTAATTTGTTACCCATCAAATCCTTGTGAAACTCAATTTTTTAATCACGCGTTTTTTATTTCATACCTTCACCTAAACACGTTTTAAAAACATTTTAAGAAACAATAGTCGATTAAACATTTCCGCTCTCTCAACGGTACCCTCAATTTGGGTGATTATGATCGGATACCACAACCAATTCTCCTGTTATTAACAGCTGCCGGCATATGCAGCAATCTGACCATTCCAGTCGTCCATTTCTCCTTTTTTCTGTGAGCGCGTACGATTGAATTTCATAAAACACCTATGAAACAGAAAAAAACTTAGGAACCTAAGAAACCTCAAAAACCTGAAAACCTAAGAAACCAAAGAAACCTAAGAAACCAAAAAAACCTGAGAAACCTGAGAAACCTAAGAAACCTAAGAAACCTAAGAAACCTAAGAAACCTGAGAAACCTAAGAAACCTAAGAAACCTAAGAAACCTAAGAAACCTAAGAAACCTAAGAAACCTAAGAAACCTAAGAAACCTAAGAAACCTAAGAAACCTAAGAAACCTAAGAAACCTAAGAAACCTAAGAAACCTAAGAAACCTAAGAAACCTAAAAGAACCTTAGAAAATTAAGAAACCAAAGAAACCTAAGAAACCTAGGAAACCTAAGAAATGGGTGTAATTATTAAAACATTTCAACAGTTATTAATAAATAATTAATACTGGCTGAGACGATAACATACTCGTTAACTTAATACGCCGTAATAAATGGCAAAAAAGGTTATATTTCAGTCATAACTATCATACTATTGCTTCCTTTTTGCGAAACCAACGAAGATTCTAGTTTTCGCGTAAATATCGCTAATGTGCGTTGAACTGGTCAGCGAATTGTCGCTCAGCAAGTTTTCGTCTTCTACAAGTTGTCGGTCAGCGAGTTGTCGATTACCGACATTTCGCTGACCGACAAGTAAGATGTCGTTCAGCAAATTAGTTTCAGCAAGATGTCGGTCAGCCAGTTTGTAAAAAAGCGAACTGTCGGTCAGCGATTTGTCGGTCAGCAAGTTGTGGTAGTCAGCAACAAGTCGGTCATCAAACTGTCGGGCAGCGAAATGAAGGTCACAGAGTTGTCGTGCTACCAGGTAAAATAGCTGTGAGTGGTCAAACCCGGAACGTGCATTTTGTCAGTAGGTATCTGCTTTTAGCAACTACACAACTGCCAGTATACAGCTACAGAACTGAAGGTTCAAGCGGTGGAACAGCATTTTAGGTTTAAAAGTTCCAGTGGAAGCAGACGAACAGCTAATATGTTCGAGAAAACTGTCAAAATCGATTAAATCGCGTCTGCCTGAAATGTAACGGATCGAACAGATATGGCTGTGCAGCCTAGCCCTATCTGCTAAATCTTTATACATTGAATGTGAAGACTGCATTTGATCTGAAGAACAAATTTTATTGGCTTTATCAAAACATCAGCAAGTATGTTTTACTTACGCCGAAGTCATTCTAACTCATTAAGACTGGCGCGTTAGCTTAGAAGAGAGAAAGGTAGCGACAAGTATTAAGAAACGGCACCTGAAAAGAGAAGCACTTCTTCAAGTTTTTTTTATTAATACAGTAAACAGTAGTTATACGAATACAGTAGTTATACTCGTAGAAAATCGGTACAATGAATTTATTGCATATTTCTGCTGTTATTGCTTCGTTTTGCTTTGCCTGGTGCCGTAGTTTCAGGTAAGAAAACCATTAACTGTAGCATGACTGCCGTAAAAAGACAATGTTTTTCAGAGAAGTTGCCACTAATGTTGGGGATCTTGAAGTGGACTGCCACAAAGTAACGCAACCCAGTGCTTCTCTTGACGCATCGGTTGTGCCGGCCCCATTCGCTTTTCGCACGGACAACCTGACCAAAGCGGAGTGTCTGGCGTATCTTGCTTTTAGTAAGAACTCGACAATTCTTTGCAATCCGGTTTTTATGGTGCAAGAATGCGACGAGGACCACTCCCTAAGTTACCCATTGTTTTCGCGAACGTATCTAAGAGCTGGGTGTGCGTGGGCGAACCGCACAAACTTTGCTCAAGTAACCAAGAACATCAAGATCACCAGTCCCAACCGCGCTGTAACCTTGGAAGTAAGGGAGTTCGCGGATATGGAAGATCTTCTGCATCATGACGTCATGGATCCTGTGCGTCACCAGGTGATCGACCTGGTGATAGAAAAATGCGCCACAACGATCACCACCGCTAAACTGTACGATGCCGGACCGCTGCCAAATCTAGTGCGGCTGCGCATGGAGAACTGCTTCAATATGGTAATTAAAAAGCGGGACTTCGCACGCATCCCGGCGGTCCGGATGATCACGTTCTACATGTTTACTATCGAAACATTGGAAGAGTACACTTTCACCGATTTGCTGCACCTGGATAGCCTGGTACTGGAAGATGGAATTGTGTACGAACTACGCAGAATCCAGGAATATCCGAACCCGCCGAGACGGCAACAGATGGTCACACTGACCGATGCGGACATTGAGAAAGTGCGCCGCATCCACTGTGACTGCTCGTTGGCGTGGTTCCGCAATTTTCTCAAGCGGAGACCTTATCTTACGGACGGTAAAGAGGAAGGCGAGGTGTCGGTTGTGGGGAACTATCGCACACCGATTGTTAATACCATCAAACTGGCGCCCGCAGTGCTCAGTGTGGATTGTGCCCGTAATTTGACGTACAATAGCGCACGCGTGGGTTCGGTGTTTTCTTATAACACATCTTGCTATGGACCATGCTAGCAGAATTCTGTGTTATGGCATCAATACGGTAGTCATTGTCTTGTGCCTGTTAATGTTGACACTGGGGTGCTACCATGGTCCATGACTCACAAATATGTTTTCATTCCTAGCGACCCCACTACGTACTAATAGAAGCGACGTATAATTTCATTAGATACTGTTAAGAATCTAGTATGGACACGATTACATAGATTATAGATATGATTGCCGGCTGTACCTTGCATAAAGACAAACCGTAACTAGCAGATGCAGCTGCAAACGTTTTGAGGATCTTTTGCAGAGCTGCACTAAAAGCTGTTTTGTACGACAGTACGAGAATGTTATGCAGTAAACGCTGTTATGTGCTGTTATGCGCGTATTAAACACTATTCTACTGGTTCGGGCATATAAAACGGTGCCGCATATGTTGTATGGTTATAGAAACCGTGAGATCATTAGCCGCTGACAGGTCTCGTGAACAATCTACACATAGAACGTCCATAGAGCCCCTCTGTTGCTTTTCAACCGGTGGCATTTAATTTCTAATGATATCATTTTTCACAATTCTCAGGTATAAAATAGTTTGAAAAAGGCTGCGTAGAGCCACGAAGGCGCAGTCGGGTTTACAGCATGGTGGCCATCGCGGCGTCGCGGATGGTACATGTATACACTATACACTCAGTACCGTGAATAGCAGCTTTAATACGTTCTAATACAAACTCGCGCTAAATTGCATTCGGCTTGGTTAAGGCTAAGGACAGTAGTCAATATTCGGATGGCACTTGCGTGCTTTCGCGTAGTCTCCGTATCCTCTACCCAGCTTCGTAAGCCCTCTGTGGAAAAGCCTCAGGAAATTGAACTGATTATTACGACAACGCTCACAGCGCTCCTTGTACCGAAGTGGTGGACTGAAGTCTCCACTGCATCCATCCAGAGCTCTCCTTCCGTCCTCGAAAAGTGACAGGGAAACTGCGTCCAGAGCGTCCCAAGCAGCCGGTGAGACATCACTCACTTCCACTTGCGCAGCGGTAACCTTTGGATATTCAGGTAAATCAGGATCCACGTCCCAGTTGAACCCTTTACAGCCTGCTTTCTGCAGGCATTCAGTTTTGTTGACCAGCACGGCCAGAGACACACAGCAGTAGTTGTCGATGTCCGTTATTCCCTCGCAGTATGGTAGACCTGCAAGATATAATAACTATCTGTTAAACAAACCGATGAGCACACCGGATGAGAAGAAAATACGATTCGATTTACTTAATGAAGTATCAAATATTAGAAGTACAAACTACGAAGAACAAAACATTCAGTACGTTGAGAAAACCCTGTATTTTGTCATAGGCCACCAGTAAAAACACACTTAACAATACAGATTCAAACGTAGATCACCGACAAGTTAAACGACTTTCCTGATTTATGCGTTATGGACTGCTGTGTTGTGATGCCCAGATACGTTAGCGATAACAGCAAAAAAAGCCAGATAAATCCCATTCTTCCTTCTACAGTATAATGAGAAAATATTTCATACAGGATGCAAAGAAAATAATGCTACTACTACCGCATGCTGGTTTGAAAACGATGGCCAGATATGTATTTTCACAACTTTGACTGAACGCAGAGAGGATTTAGCTACACAATGGTGTGACGCGATCCTCTCTGGCCTGTGTCTAGACCGAGCTATTCATCAAACAAAGAAAAACTTTGAAACCAAAAGCTGAAAGGAAACGTTTCTTTGTTTATGATGTAATGTACACTGATGTGTGTGTTTTCTACTAGAAAGCTTATATACCGAACTCCAATGCTGCACAACAGATAGAACTCCCAATAACTGCAAAAAACATTTTTCGAAAAGTGTTTTTTGCGTTTTATTTGAAACATTACATTTTGAACTTTTCCTTTACATGTTTCGGTATATAAGCTTTAGTAGAAACACACACAACAGTGTACATTACATCATAAACAAAGAAACTTTCCCATTCAGCTGTTGGTTTCAAAGTTTTTTCTTTGTTTGATGAATAGCCCGGTCTAGACACAGGCCAGAGAGGATCGCGTCACACCATTGTGTAGCTAAATCATCTCTGCGTTCAGTCAAAGTTGTGAAAATACATATCTGGCCATCGTTTTCAAACCATTCCCGTTTTCCCAAACCCGCTTTCTACTGCTAGTGATCCCCTTAAGCCTTTCACATAATTCCTGGCGGAACGCATTTACTTTACTGCATACCTACTGTATAACTTACAGATCTCAAGTGTTAAGTGTTTCGATCGCCACTACTAAAATAGAATTTTGCCGTTGCAGCACAAATGTCCTCTAAATTTCCACTAAACTGCCAGTTACACCTCTTGGAACTGTACGCAATTTGCAGAACACTCCAAATAAATTTCGTTGTATGCTTATAATTCTGCCTTATTTTTGTTGAAACTGCGAATGCTGATACCGCAAAAGAATGCTCGATATAAAAATAATAAAATAAATCAAAGCATACTATTAATACAGGGCATAATTATCCGAATCATCCGAAAGTATTTTCATTATAAAGACTTTTCACGAGTTTTGCTTGTACATTTTACAAGTAATTTTGTCCAATGCGGCATATTTGATGGTCATAAGAAGGCTAACTAACAATTTTACAAAAGATAAGGCCCTCTACACACATTCTGGGACATTCCAACACTGCAACGACGCTGAAAGGTTGAAGTTTTAAAAAAGAACATCCAGGATGCTTTTGTGGTGGTTCTCATATTTGAAGCGTTTGTTTTTCACGATACAGCAATAAGAAAAAGCACCACCTTGCGAGATAACATGGAATATTGCTAGTGTGTTCATACTTCACAGTACTTCCTACATTCTGCACAAACAATCATGCTGGCACAACATGTCATCCTTTAGCCACACAACACCAGCAGTAGAACAGCATAATGTAAAGTTGTAAAGCACTGGAGGCAAGTTATAATACAGATATTTAAAATCGTACGCGAAGGAGAAAATATACAATTTCTAGTAATAAATACAGATAATTATATGAAAATTGATTCACTTGCAATTATAGAGAGACTAAACTGGTATGAAGTGCTGTCGCCGATCCTGAACTCAACAAAATTTCGGAATATCTACAGTAAGCAGCCGGATTCTTAGTCGACTTCGTGGAAGAATGTCGGTACTTTCCAGTTTTACACTTAAAATCTTCCGGGATCTCAAGTGGCTAGAGAAATCCATTCGCTAGAAAGGGGGATTCCTGTGTGTGTAGCACAAATGACCTAGCAGATTCCAGTAATTTCCCACTTATAACTGATATAATTTGGGGAACACTCCAAGTAGATTTCATTGTGTATTTATAATTCGGCGATTTCTATAACCAAAAACTGCCGACAGTGCAAGTAACTGAGCATTAAAAACAATGCAAGCCATAATAATTAAGCCGAACTGTTGGAAAGTGATGCACAAAGAATCATACTTACAGACTGTCTGTATCTGGCTGCATCGGTAAAAAGCGCAGTGCCCGTTTAGACTTGCGGCTTGTGGCAACCGTGGGTTCTTTCTATGGTACCGATACAGCGGTACCCTTCTACCATTGCACTGTTTGTTGCTAAAAATATCTTGAAATCTGTGTCTTCATTGCGACTGCTCTCATCAAAGGCGCAAAGCATCCCGTCCTCATGATGCAAAGACATTTGAAAAGTTTGTCAGAACTTTATAACCATTTACTGCACAGTAGAGTACTCATACACCTATCCGCAACTCTGAACTGCCTTTTCGTACATTATTAGGAAATTAAATTTCGTGAACATTTTGGCTGGGCTCGTCACTTAACGATAACCTTGTTCAAATGAAGTTTCAGCCTCCGTATGTTTAAAATATGGTTGTATGGCGTCAAACGGTTATCCGCGGTTCCAAATTTACGTTTTACCGGGTGTGTTCGCTGTAAACGAGCAGTAAAAGAGTAAAACTTTATAACGTGCGTATTTTTATTATGAGTACGAGGACACGCTAAGTATATCTGTACGTGATAGACCAAAAAACCAGCGAGAATTAATGATAACCAATCACGTGTTGTGCAGCACACCCAGCCACCAAGGGTTGGCGGTCCACGTACTGTGTAGTAAACAGCTCGTCTTCATAGACGCGTATGCTAACTTCCAGCTCTAATTCTTCGTGTGCTATGGAACGAAACTATTTGACCAATGTAGCAAAAGATGCAGAAAAAATCTACAAGATTTTTGATACCCAACAAGTTGCAGTTCATAGCGATTAAGACATATGATAGCCTTTTTGAGTTTCTCGTAGACTTAGCACAGGAGTCTGTGTGGGGAACACGTTACCCTTGAGCGTGGATTCTATGCTAAGTCTATGAGAAAACGAAAATAGCTGTAATCTGTTTGGATTGGCGCATATTCTCACTTATTTGGTATCAAAAATCGCGTTATTTTTTGCTGCGTCTTCTGGTATATTGGTTGAATGGTCCTATTCCAGAGTACACGAGAAATGAGCGTTGGAAGTTTGCATAATTTTCAGTCAGTTATTTTTACTGTGTTTACAAGCAACTGCAAACCTGGGAGGTTGCCCGCGTTGCACGAACCGGGCATGGTTATCATATTAGATTGTGTTCGCAAGCACAAAAATGCTTACGATATACGGTACGATATACGATAGGCTCTTGCACGTCATCATGGCGTACCCTTATCGGACCGTTTGACGATAGGATTGACGATAGAAAGCATAGCTATCGTCAAGCTTACCGTTAAGTCTTGCGAAATAGCAACCGCTCTTGGTGGCGATTGCATCGATTGGAACGACTACAGGTGCCAAATCACGAAACTTTTGAGGTGTCAGAATAAGTTCGAATGGTTTTGATTAACGAACGGAGTGAATCAGAAGAAAGACAAGGTTAAAATAAGTTTTTTGATACCAAGTGAGGGCAGTTTGTCCAAAAACCAACGGTTTTGCAACCATTTGAATTTACCATGCAAAGCTTACGGCGTCGTTGGAGTACTAAGCGCGAACTTTTTACTCGAACTCCGTAGACGCCTGCTTTTAACTTCAAATGTTCATAACAACGCTCATCAGTGCTCAAATCTAGCAGCTTTGGTGTGAAAAAAAATTTATAATTTTAGTTTTCATCGGGTTCACAGCTAAAAGCAGTTTAGCACATCAAAAGTGCCAGCTGCCACTGCCAAAACTGATTCACTTCGGAGGCAACATTTGACCGTATAACGTTTATCGTTTGTCGGCTGTGATGAGAGCGAACACTAAATTACCGACGATATGATTACGGTACGGTGTTCCATCGTATCGTACACCGGACCGTCTATCGTCGGTGTATGGCGAACACAATCTATTA